CCTGCCGCCGAAATCATCCATCAACGAAAATTGTACGCAAAATCCTCCACCATGCACCGACGAAAATTGTACGCAAAATCCTTCACCATCCGCCGACATCTGTACGCAAGATCCTCCATCCTCTCCACCGCCCGACGATTTCAACGAGACTCAGCCACCCTCTCAACCCTAACAGTCTTTGCAACATTCCCAACCCGAACAGCCTTCGCAATACTCTCAACCTGAACAGCAACACTCTCAACCCGAACTGCCCTCGCACAATCTCACTGAACAATCTTTTCAACAGTCATCCGTCTCTTCTGATTCCCCGATTACAGATCCTCATGGTCTTATTGCTCCCAAACCCATCAAGCCGTCATCCCGTCGCACACCTGCTCGCTTGCCTGATCTGTGTCTTGCCTGCACTCGTAAACCTACTACACCTACGCTCACCACTGGAAAGCCACGCTCTTAGATACCTGTTCACAGCCTCGTCTCATCCACTGTATACTCCAGAAACCGAAAACGAAACGATATGGAAACCACTCACGATCTCAAAAGAAAATCATCCGATGTATCTCTAAGTCGAAAGGAAACTGCCCCCACGGAAAAGAAGTAAGGAAAAAATAGACACTCTAAAAAGTCCAAAAAAGTTTTATTTTTTTAAGTGAGTCTTTTTTCCAGGTTCCTTCAAACTCTTAACTATTAATGCAAGAAGGCTAGTAAACCCCCTTACCAACAATTTCTTGTTTGATTTGATCGAGAAGTCCAACTGTGATGTCTGTTTTGTACAAGAAACGTTAATTCGTTCTGAATCTACTATCAAATCTCTATCCCGTAGATGGCTAGGCCGTAGTTTTTGGTCCCCTGCCTCCGGGAATAACTTCTTCGATATCAGACATAATTTTGGGGTCGCAAGGACGGTCATAAGACGCGAATGAATATAATTGACAACAGCTCCAATATATAGCCTACCGCTAATGAAGCAATTGTAACAACATACCATGCAACACCCCAAAGAAATTACTTCGCTGTAAGGACTTGGAATTCACTGCTGGAGACCACACGCGCCATGGCCGGCACAAGAGAAATTTAAAATTGGATTCCAGACACACAATTTACATCTAAATTATGAGGTAATCGTATTACTTATAAGAGGTTTATATCTTTTATCGTGGAATGATTCCCTTCCCTTGAACGAATTTTCAGCCAAGTATCGGTCACGTACCGGTCAAGTGTCGGTCAAGTATCGGTCAAGTGTCGGTCAAGTGTCGGTTAAGTATCAGTCGTTTAACGGTCAAGTATCGGTCATGTATCGGTCAAGTATCGGTCATGTATCGGTCAAGTATCGGTCATGTATCGGTCAAGTATCGGTCATGTATCGGTCAAGTATCGGTCATGTATCGGTCAAGTATCGGTCATGTATCGGTCATGTATCGATGGTCTAAGACTATATCGGTCGACACAACTATCGGTCGACACGACTATCGGTCAACTATTGGCCGATATATCGGTCGACTATCGACCGATAGTCGGTCTACAGTCGACCGATATATTGGCCGAAGTATCGGTCGATATATCGACCGAGGCCACCTATAGTACACATGATCCATGTAATGTTACCTCAGAGTACTACTCAACGTATGATTCCTTAAAAATATTGCTTGTGTTCTGATCTTGTTATGCACATATCTTTTTTCCCTAAAAACCTTCCATTGCAACCCCATATCCACCACCTCAACTTAATTTTTCTGTGTTCTCTATTGAAAATACAGTCCCACAAAACCCAAATACAATAATTATAGTAAACATTTTGCTCTCAACGATATAAATTTTATTTTCGAGTGCTTGTGAGAGATACTTGCAGCACGAGAAGATAAAACTCGTATCTTCAAGCGGCCGTGAAATATTCTGTTATTTTATAGATACTGATGAAATTTCCACATAAAACACAACTTTGCTTATTCATTTTCGAAACAGCCAAGGAGTGCAATTAAAGTGGTAACCTATCGCGAAATGCCTGTCGTAAAAATGTTATGAAACTCGAATATAGAGTTATAAAGGAAAAATAAAGACAATAATACTTATATTTTCTGTTCCAAAAAGTCAAAATTCTAATGAAGAAAAGAAAAATTCTATAACAGCATGTTAGTAACCATGGCGACACCAATATCCTTACACGTGAAAGATAAAAATAGTATCTTCACTGCGCGCGATGAAGATATGATTTTTTAGTTCTTTGCTGAACGTTAAGCTAAGTTTTGAGTTCCACTACAAGTACACTTCTGACCATTTTTGGTGAGTCTTTGCTAGTCCATTTCTACCGTATTCCGAGAGAGAAATCGAAGAAAGTTAATGAATGAATAAACGCCGCATTAAATCTTCTTGTGTCTAGATAAAGTGCTTCATTTGACTTCAGCTTTTCGGTTGAGGAAAGACAAGATTTGCCCACATCACTGCAGCCAGAAAAAGAAAATCGAACAGAAGGTCTCAATTTCTATGGATGAGAATAATGTTATCCTTAAGATCACTGACTGTTTTTTTGAAAGAAAAACCCGTGGTGATACACGACTTTCAAAAATGGCGGTACAATACGCTCGTTCGCTAGGGGACTGGAGACGCGAAACATGGAAGTGAGGCATCAAAGGCTAAACAGCAGTGCTCTCTTCAGCATGGTCGTAATTTTTACTGTTTTTAGTGTCTTTTTACCTTCTATACATCGTGAAAATACTAAAAAATGACATCTAATATCAGCTTAAACGAAGATGACATTCCTGTTGCGTCACTTAAAGGTGGAAATGCTTCAGAATTAAAAAAATCGATGAACTAAAATCTTGGTTGAAATGTCGAGACGACTCTGGAAAAGGACTTAAAACAAAAGCAGAACTCGTAAAAAGGTAAGATACACAAAGAGCTCGATTAGTGAAATAATATGCCTGCCTCCTGAATATCAAGTTCTAGCTTCACTCTTCAATGTAGTTGATGTAGGTTTAATTGAAACACTTCAACATTTTTTTACAGAGTCGAAGAATTCATCAAGAACGGTAAAAATAAACAAATCGTGGATCTCGATCCAAATGAACTACTACTAGTAACTTTTCCAGCCAGCGAGCCAGAAGTTCGATCGGTAAAATATCCTGTTTGAGAACCTTTGTCTTCAAACACTTTGTCTTTAATCTGAGTTGTATTTTCAACGACCGAAGTCTCGTCCGTTTCAGTTGATCTCTCTTTACATGCTGTTCAATCAATTCGATTATTATCTTCATTCTCGCTAACAGCCTCTGAGATATCGTCTAAACCCGTTGCTACTAAGTGTCTGAATGGCGGAGGCTTTCGTTTACTAGGAGACGTGCGCCACGAAAATACTGTAGGAATGACTCTAGGTTTGAGATTTATCGTACTTCCAGCTAGCGATCTCTGAAAGTCCTCCGTTTTAAAATGCCTCGAGCATACCTTAGTGGATCTCCTTATCTGAAAGTTTTTCCCTTCATCTCTCCTTATAGTATGAGTCCATTGTTTTCGTAGAGACTTACCAGTAGGGAAAATAAGATAAGAAATGTTTTTACCCTCTTCAAGATAGCCTTTCTTGGTGCAGCCGGGAACAAAGCAGTGTGTAGGCGTTGTTTCGACGAGAAAATTTGTCCTGAAAGAATCACCATTTTCCAATCAATTGAAATCTTGAGTTGTTCACATTGAGATTCAGTTTTTCAGCGTGGATTTTTCAAATTCAAAGCGTTATAAAGGATGTAATAATAAAGCTTCCAAACTTTGACAAGTTCATCGCTCTACACGTGAAAGATGTTTGTTTTGATCAGGCCTTTGATGCCTCGTTTCGATGTACTCGTTGCTAGTCTTCAAACTCCGGTCGCACTCTGCCGCCATTTTTGAAAGCCGTGTATGGTCATTTAACTCGAGTTTTACCGTTATCCATTCAAAAGAGTACATGCCCTTTTCTTTCACACGCTCGCTAACTGATTGAGGTCACAAAACAAGTTTTTCAAAGTTTGCTTAGAGGCCTGTGAGATATTTTTAATCATTCAGTCCATCTACCCCTTTGTCTGCCAACCTATCAACAACGAAATATTGACATTAGTAGATATCAAACGGTCGTCCGTTAGATCCTGGCCTAACATTTCTTCCAGCTCATACACAGCTTCCGAACTTGCGGCCATTTTCAGAAAAAGCCAATGAAAGTTAAAGTCGTTCCCAGTCGACAGCAGCACACCTTTTTGCTCGTACCCGCTCGGTTCATCGTTCATCCTCTCTCGGCCCTGATTCACTGTTCAAGCTCTTTAAGAATTTTGACTTGTCTTGTAAAGCTTATAATAATGCTCTTCTCGAAAGGGATGCTTCTTCAGCAAAGAGCTATAATTAAAGGATTTGAATTTCTTACATGCACGGATATTTGTTTACGGACATCCTTTCGTCTGAGATGTGAACGGCTTTTCAAGGGCAGAGCTCGAAGAAAACTGTGAGTTTCAAGGAACACATTATGTCTAAGGACAAACGTACGAACATATTTTCGCGCCAAACGGAGGCTGTTCATAAAATGTTTTATGAACAACTTACTTTTTGCTTTGAAGTGTTCTCTGGTGCGACTTTATTAACAAACAGACGCGTACCCTCTTCTGTAACAGTAGCTAATCCTCTTTCATATTTCATTTGATTTAAACGAATACTTTTATCGTAGCTATGTAGGGTTTGAAAATTTGGGAATGTCAGTGGAAGATCACAAGGTGTACAGTTTGGAGAGCTTGGTGATATCATTTTTTTACGATGCAAGGGGTGGATGGAGGGGCAAATAGACCAACCAACTGTGAGAGGTATTGAGAGTTTTGTTGATCTGGTTCTAAGAAAACCAGCAGCTAGATACATAGTTATATCAAATATATAGTTACGCATGTATACATGCATAAATTCACCTGAGTCAACTAAAATATTCCCCAAAAATTATCCTTTGGGGATTTGCGGTCCAAACCTCAACTTATGAATTTATTTATTGTTTGAAGGCGATGGACAACTTTTGTAATTAAAACATCAACAAATTTATTGAAAATGAAAAAAGTCCCAGTTACAGCGAGTGGTTTGAAGGGTTTTTTCTCAGATTACATATGTATACTGTTCCCAAAATATACGTCTAACGAAATCTAGAACAATCCTCCTTAAAGGAATTACATTTGTCGAAAGGGAAATAAAAGCTTCGTATTTCAAAAGACATCACTAACTATAATCAACCAAACAATCTTAATCCTGGGCCAAGAAATCGCCATGACTTCTTTGAAAGGCAACGAAAACTTCAAATATGACTATGAAACAAACAAAGAATACAGAATTACCATTGTTGCAATATGGGCCTTTGACAGGTATTAGGAAAACATCCGTCTAAAATTCTATCATCCAAAGACTTCACTTGAAGCTTTCTTACGCGATGAAATTTAGTTTTAATCACGAACTATTTATGCCACGGTGAAATATAACTTTTTCCGTCTACTTTTCCAAGCAAGAGAAGCGTTAGCAAAGCGGGAAGACTCGCGTGTGACTCTCGCTCAGCCAACGCTTCTCTCTTTCGCAATAAAGGCAAAGGTTGGTACAAAGGTGTCTTGTATTTAAAATTACCCTGAATGCTTAAACTCTCCCAGTACTTCCAAGCTTTTTACTGATAAATAAATCCGCGAAAATAGTTAAAAGTGCCAGTTATTATCGCAAAAAATGAGGAGTGGCAGTCGAACGAGTATGAGGACAAGTTGTTAAGACTAATTTAAAAACGATTTGTATACCTATCCAAATGTTCGTAGCATAAAACTTTAGTTTAGTAAGGTTGGGAAGGTAGAAACTACTTTAACATCTATCATCTAATTCTAAGTGCCAGTTGACATTGATTCTTCAAATTAGCAAATTCACGCCATGTTCTGAATAGCTCCGGAATCACGTGAAAGGTCTAAATGGTTAATAACTTCACAGCAAACACAGCTTCTACCATGTCATAAAACGCTTCTAAATCGGAATAATCACAAAATTCCAGGTTGTACACGCGGCGACTGGTTGCAACGGAAGCAATATGCCCCAGGTTTCCACTTTCATAACCTCCAACTCTTCGTTTTCGCCAGGTATACTTCAGGGCACTGGAGACGAGCCTTCCTGGCTGTACCATGCGAAGTTCTGAAAAACGTTGATTTTTACTTTAAGAGACATTTGGTGCGATCATGAGTTTAAGAATAGAAATAAAGGTAAACTAAGGATTCCTCGTTGGCCATAAACAACTCTGTTTTACAAGAGATGGTCGAGATGCTTAACCGAAGCTGTTTTCAACACAGACGCAAATACAACAATCCTGACAGGTACCGGATTCAATCCTTCATTAAAAGTAGTGGGTAAACAGATAGGAGAGGATCAAGCTGAGGGACTCGAACCTCCACATGAGCTGTATTGCTATCGTAATTATTCCCTTTTCAAATAAAACATGCCAGGATGACACCCATTGATCAATTAATCGAGACAAAACATTGAGGCAGAATACTTCGAAGGGACAAGAGCTGTACGAGGGATTCGGTTTCATAGCTTGATACTCTCTTGACAAAGAAGCTTATTTTCTATCTCGGGAAGTTCGTCCCAAGCGAAAGCACTCATTGAGGATAAAACGATTGATTTAATTACCAAGAGCAAAGAGTAGTTACCTTTCAGATCAATGATCTTTTTCGTTTTCTCGTTTTCAATCGCTTCTTCGTCGCCAGGTTTTGATCTCAACTCTAGTCTGTGGATATCTTCACGGAAAAATAGGCCGCCATAATGCGGCATTTTGTTGCCTAGTAGAATGAAAATGTATTGAGAGTATAATTAAAACTAGATACTTCATCTGTCTTCCGATAAGCTACATTTAGGCAGATCTCTGGCATTTTTAAACAGTTCTTCGAATTTTTTTTTTTTTTTTGGACTTTTCAATTGCAAGTTGGTAAATCAAAACCATAGAGTTCACAGCGGCCAGTCATAAAATGGAGTCGTTAAGAACTCGAAGTAAACAATTTAAAAGTCCTTCAGCGCTGGAAAAAGCAAGTGAAAAAGTCTCTCTGGCTTTCGAAGAGATTGCTTCGAGGAACAACATAACCGAAGAAAAAAGATTTCGATTTTAAGAGAAAAAGAGATCATGCTCTTTCAAATTAACCAACTCGAACCAGGAGCCAAGGACAGGGGTTTTTCAAATTACCTCTCTTTGAATGAAGGAATACGCCTACACCACCGGAAAGTTTCCCCACGGCACGTCTTTGGTTGAACGTTCTTGGAGGTGTGGGAAATTCTGGGAACAACATGCGGTACGTGAAGGCCAGGGCTATTGCTAGGATACCTCCTGTTACTTGTGCGTGAGGTAATTCACTTAAGGAGTAATGATCACCAGGACAAACGAGTACTGTGGTACCTCCATCTACCAACTGACTCCAGACTTCCTCGATGCCATGTGATGTGGGATTACGGGAAAAAAATCTCCTGTCCTGACATTTAAGGAATGTGAGGGGACCTCGATAACGAACCTATTGAAGATAAAGCATGCGACAATGCCATTTCAGTTATTTGTAAGTCGCACGCATGTTTCAAATGAATTGATGATTTCTAACGTCTTGATAGTGTTCTTGTTGTACAAATGGCAACATGCCCCGAAAACATTACCGTTAGGATATTCCCTTTTCAGTGCGAGCACTTCTTACCTCAGCAGGCTGCCATTCTTGGTGCGTCCTATTTGCCAAAGTCTGATTCCTCAGAAGAGCTTCTTTTAGGGTCCTTAAATTGTAAGTGGTAAGACCTCTAGTAAGGCTTCTTTTCTGCAATTCATCAATGATCCAGTCTTGACTGTGCCTCTCTTTCATTTCCCTGTACTCGTCAACGTTCATCTTTAGTGAGTCTACTGCAAGCTTTTCCAAATAGCTTTCAAATTGAAGCTAAATAAAGATCAACAAAATATACTAGTTTTCTACAGGAAATGGGAAACTGGAAACAAAACCGTTAAAACTCCATGAAGAGCTACACACCCATTGGAAGAGGTGGTTATCAAGTCGGTCGAACAAAACTTTACAAACCGGTAGAAATATTTTGTGTCCACTGAACCCTTAATTTCGTCAAACAGTGATCTACTTTTCCTTGCATGACTAGTTTCGTAAATCTACGTTTAAATCGGGTTGGTTAGCTACCTTCTAAGTTAAAGTCTCAATATAAAGTTAAATAACATTTGGTTTCTGGGGTCTCTTGCATATGCAAACAGGCTAGATGGCAGTGCTGGATTTGCCACGATGTAAAATCATGACTCCTCAAATAAACATAAGTATTTCAAAAAGACCCCATAGAGAAAAGGAACTCGTGAAATCACCAGTGAGGCATACACAACATACTATGCAAAAAACCCTCTAACACAACAGGGACATAAGTTAATCGTCTTATTACAAGCATAGGACGACGAAAATGACATTGGTCTCAATAAGGAATCGAGCCTCAGACCTTCGGCCAAATTATCTACTTCGGTAATGAGGGCGTTTTCTTTTATCACGACGGCTACCTGAGAGCTGTTGACCTGTTGCACAAACCTGAACATGTCGCGATGGCAACCACCCGTCTTTTTCCATGGAAGTTAGCCTAGTGTTTATGGTCCGTGAACGAGGTGACCAGGGAAATGTGTCAATCATGGCAACGAACTCCACTCTATGATTCTGTTCTGTTAACAGGGAAGCCATTTCGTACGCAAGAAGTCCTCCATATGAATATCCCCCGAGAAAGTACGGTCCATGGCGCTGTTCGTTGGTGATCAGCTGAACATAATGAGCGGCAAGCTCACGCACTCCACCCCAGTCCTCACTGATTACTGTAGGGTCAGCAAAGCCCAGAGCATAGAAGGATATTAAGTCCTAATAATGACAAATAAAAGATGTTAGTCAATGCTATGAAAGACTTTCAAACTTATGACGTAAACACTCATATTTGGGAGTCCAAGGGAAGCAAAACTCAGCGAAGCTTAATTGATATGGAGTTGATACGGAGGAGTAAGAAAATGTTTGTCATCGATAGAAGTTATGACCCTTCCAAACTGCTATTAGCATTTTGGTTGACACCATGAATATAAGTTGCGTCTAGGAAGAAACTTCAAAGGACCAGATTACTTAAAAATTGTAAGATCTTCCAAAATTTGGGATAGAAGGCAACCTCAGTGTATCGTTACTCCGCCCTTGAGATTTACGTTACCATCAAACTATATCAAAGGGAGTAGAATATTCCTTTGCTATAGAAAGAAATAGATGTTAAGCGATTGATCAGAAAAAAAATATCCAAATTATGTTTGCATCACTGACTGTACGGCTAAAAAAATCAAAACAGTCAAATTGTACCTGTCCTTGAAATCCTGTTGAAATAGGAACCAAATTCAACGCGTAGCGATGTGAAGGATGTATACAAAAGAACTTTATTGCTGATCCCTCGGGAGTGTAAAGGGGTAAAACTTGCACCTCATTCTTGGACGGCATGACTGAAAGACTTGTATCCTCCGATGATTGAGTTTCAATGGGGGCGCTTCCTTGACTCTCGCTATTTTGCGGGCTGCTTGCTTTCCCACAAAGCCTGGCACTGATGTCCTTGGCCATTTTTATGGTGGTTGTATCGGGCTGCATGAAGTAGAAGACCTGAAACAAGAATTTCAGTCGTTATACCAATATATTCAATTGCACATTAATTTCAAGTAACTCACTGGAGTTTTTCTTAAATTGATTGCGTAATCCTTTACAAAGTAAGAAGAATGATCTGAATGAAACCCTCTTCAAAAAGCTTCCACACATGACAGTTAAAGTAGCCTTTGAGATAAGAAATTCTCACAGATGACAGTCGATAAGAAAGTTTTCATGCAAAATGTGAGCGTTTTCACTGGCGGGGTATGTATGGGCGTGTGTGGTTGTATTAATGACTGAAGATGATCTTAACTCTTTCCAATCGAATTGTGTGGTTTCAACCGCAGTATTTCCAGGAACAATGTTGCCATGTAGAGTAATGGACGGTTTTGATGACAAATTACGTGAGCGTTTTTTCCATCAGTCAACTTTCGCGACTTTCTTAGGTCTTTTCTTAGGAGAAAAATAGAATTCAAGATTTTCTTATTCATCTAATGAAATAGTCACCTCAAAAGAAACCTGCAAGTTCGATTCAAGCAGCATTTTCAAAGTCAAAGCTGCAGTGGAGTCGATACCGTAGCTGTAAAGGCTTTTGTTAAGATCTGTCTCTGAAGACGATGAAGTACCTGTCAATTCAGCAACCGACATGCGAACATACTCCACAATAAGTTCGCCTTTCTTGTCTGGGTCCTTCTCTAGCCGGATTCTTTGCAGTAAAGACTCTGCTGTATTAGTTTGGCTTTCAGAAAGACTGATTTCTGTGGTGATCATTGAGAGTCGGGGCGTCTTTTGTAGTCCGGTAGTACTTTTGATATATCGAGACCAGTCCACAGCAAATAAAGAGATTTGGAAGCGGCTCGGCTCCTTGGTTAAAACCTTGGCCATAAGTTTAACTCCTGCAAAACGTTGGCCATGTGTACTACATGATGAAAAGTTTTGCTCTAACACTACTATCATTAGTCATCTTCGTACAGGGAAATACAAGACTGAGTTAGCTTGAGAGAAATTCCAGGAAGTGACTTACGTTTTGATAACTAAGGAATGTTATCTACAACTTGTATATGGTATCCTGTTGATCTTAAACTACTGTCACCCAGAGTGAACCACTTACGCATGTAAGCTTTCAAAAACCTGAGTTCTTCCCGGTTAACCCTCCAGCATCAAAAGCCCTGGGCTCAACTATCGCCTCACATCCATTAGGCGTAGCAAGAAAAGATAAGATAAGATAAAGGTATTTAATGTTGACAACCTGGAGAGAGGTCTCCCAATTTCTCGACCCAAAGGCTCGTGCCTAAAAGCGCTCGACAAAAATGAATGTATATGATATGAACATACATGAATAATGGAGAAAAGAAGCTAAATAAAATTTTCACTAAATATGTCTCAGACTAATAAACTACTTAAACGCGAAGTCAGAAGAAAACATTTCAGGAAAGAGAATAAGATCATATACATTTAGAGCACTGGTATTCTAAAAGCTCAACATTGACCGGGTTAAAGCAAAATTTGTTAAAAGTAGTCATGTTCAAAATGATAAAATTCGAGCATACTAGTAGAATAATATTTACCATCTTTGGCATTTATGAAGCCCAGTCCTCCAGCTGTCATCAATTTTGCAATATTACTCTGCCGTTCCATCACGCCAGCTCCACTGATCGGTCCCCAGTTTATCGAAAGTCCGGGTAAACCAAGCACTTGTCTTCGATATTGGGCAAGTGAGTCTTGGAAGGCATTGCAGGCGGAGTATGATGATTGGCCCATATTTCCAACAATGGATGCCATGGATGAAAACATTACGAAGAAATCTAGATCCATCTCCAAGCTCAATTGGTGTAGTAAAAAGGAACCTAAGCGAAATATAACCCTGATATCTTTATTTAATTCACATATTTGAAAATTTGGTTAGAGTATGCACCTCGTTATCCTGGTCACATTTCTAAAAAACAGGTATAACTGTGAGGATTAGGTACACTCGCCCTTTATCCATGTTTTTATCATATACTCAAGGAAGATTTGGAAAACCAAACACAGAAAATAAGGTTGAGTAATGTTACTCGAGAAGTTAAACATTTTGGAAGGTATTAATCAATGTTGTTTTGGTCAATAGAAATGTCTTAAGGAGAAAAAAGGAAAGAGATTTTAAGAGTTTCATATTAAGTAGATATAATATTCACCCTTGATCTTAGGAGCCATGACATCTGTAAAACTTTTAAAAGTCCAGTCTTTGATATATTCATCTCTGAGGACCATGGCAGAATTCACGATTCCAGCCACACTTGGAAGAGATTTAAGCTGCTCTTTTAGCGAGACCATTTGCTCTTGGCTGGATATGTCAATCTATAACAACAAAAAAGAAAACAGTCTGTAAAATTGTTGACGAGCATTGCGCTTTACTTTCCAGACATTGTTTAAAGGATAATAATAACAATGTCGCAGAAGTGAACATTAACTACTACAAACATCCAAAAAACTACCTGGAACATATAGAACTTTGCGCCTGTCTTTGTCTCAATATCTCGTACTTCTCGATGCTCGGCATCTGAGGGTCTGGAACGACCAATTAGTCCTATAGACCTTGCTCCATTTTTGGCCATCCAACGTGCCACTTCGAATCCATATCCTCTGATCCCCCCCGCCACCAAATACGTTCTGTTTTCCTTCAGACCACATTCATCCAGACCGCGTGGCAGGACGGGAATCTTTTGAAGATCATTACCTTCTTCGGATGGAGTAAACGAGTGAATCAGAAAAGAAATACCTTGAGATGCTGTCATGGAATTTTCCGGAGGTGAGTCATTCCGAGTGAACTCGTTTCCAGCTTTAACTGCCTTTTGTATGTCTGTCGATACCAATCTGATTTCTAGTAGTTTTTCCAGAAGTCTTCCACCTTTGAGTAGTTGTAGACTCTCTAAACTGAGCTTTTGATAGGTTTGTGGCGATAGGAGGATGTCCGAAAAGCTTTCTCTAACATAGATGACGTTTTTCTTCGCGGGGAACACGACGTCACCATCAAATTCGGCCCCCAAGATAACAACTTTACCTCCTCGTTTGAGACATCGACTGCTCTTTTGAAGAGTGTTCGGAGGGGGTGGGTAGAAAAATAAAACCGCATCAAAAGCATCTCTGGAATCATCTTCAAATCTAGTTAGGCTCTGATGTCTTATACTCTCAGCTCCCAGCTCTAACAGGGTGGACTTTGTTACCGATTGGCAAGTATCCGAGATAGTGCCAAATACTTTGTGACCCAATGCTTTTGCAAGTGCAACTGCTGCAGGTCCAGGACCACGTTGAGCTTGATGTATAAGTAACTTCTTACTTTCTTTCATTGTTGCTATCAGTTTTAGGGCGTGTAAAGCTATGGCTAGGCAGGCGGGGATGTATGCTGCTTGTCCTTGTGTCAAAATTACTGGCTTCACAAACGTGTTGCTGACTTGTATGGAAAAGGAACGAGAAACACGTCCAGAGGCCATAACGCCGCATACAACGTCTCCTATTTGCATTTGATTATTTGCAGTTTCTTCGGGCAGGTGAGTGACCTTTCCAACGGTGAAGACACAAGCGTTTGGTTTGGCCACATCAACTACTGATTCAGAGGGTGTCCAGCAATGGAGCATTTCTACAGTGACTTCGGAGGGCGATGGTTTTGAAAAACTCTTTTGGCGAAGGCAGACCTTCCTGGTAGCGGGGATGGCCGACAAGTACAGGGAACCCCAGTCGCTATCATTGCTATGTGGTGTAGGCTGCTCTGTGGAAATGTTTGACCTCACAACGCGATTTATGAACCGCTTTCCTTCTCGAAAGGCGACTTCTTCTTCAATATTATCGCAAAGTATCTCAGAAAACAACAAATCTACCTCGGTGATGTCATTTTTGTTGCCAAGATCAATCGTTGTGATACCAAGATCAGATTCTTCGTGTTTCGCGGTTCGTCGAAGGCCCCAGATTGTAGCAGCCCAAGGAATGGTATGAGTATCAGGCTTAGAGGTGGCACTTATGAGTTGTGTACTTTCAGAGACTAGCAGCAGTCGAGTATCAAGGAATCCCTTGCTTACGAGCTGTTGGATTAAGAAGACTGAGCTGCTATAGGCGAGATTTTGCGCTTTCTCGATTAGGTCAAATTGGTTTGGTAGCAGAGTCGTCTCTACTGGCCACATGTTGACAACTTTGAAGGGTGAGTTTCTCGAAGGTAAGTCAGTAAACGCTGTTCTGATTACCCCTTTTGTTTCGGTGTCAAAACAAAGAGCATTGGGTGGATCAACTGTGATTACCTTGACCTTTGCGGCGCGAAGTTTTACAATCAGGCTGTCTGAGAAGGGAGAGCTGTCCCTGAGTAGAAGACACGTCAGATTTGGCACCATTTTCCTTTGTGCTTCCGTCTCATCTTTCATCCACTGCACTTCATAGACAAGGTCATCAGAGGTAAATTGACGTGGTGTGCTATTCAACTCTGCTACATGAAATTCGCTCATGGTCAGTACAACATTTCCAGATGGACACATAAGCGTGACATCGAATGTTCCGAACTCTTTGACATCCTGGACTACGTGACAATAAAGTTGATTGGATTTTGGAACGTCATTCAGAGTGATCCCCCCAAATCCTACCGGTAAAATGGATTTCTCATAAGTAGCTGAGATTCCAATAGGAATAAAGCAGGATTGAAGACAGGCGTCTAAAATGGAGGGGTGAACCACATAATTTTCAGATTCTAATTGAACCATGGGTGATTCACGGATATCGATCAAAGCAAGTCCCTCGTGATCGCGGTGCCACGTCTGTTTAATGATAGAGTAAGCACTACCATACTGAAAGCCATACTTTTGAGTTATTTCTCTGAATCGTTCAATCGGCACCTCTCTCATATTTCTGATCAGCTTATCAATGGTTAGTCCAGCTTGAGTGGAGGCTGTAAAAAGCAAAAAGAAAATAATGACTTCCTTTGATTCCTTTATAACAGTTGTAGTTTGTAAATGTCATGACTGTCACAATATTTTTTTCAACAAAGGTGCGTCATAAGCACTAACAATTTTATGAAACTTTATGCTATAAACGAATAAACAGACGGATAGATAAGTCTATAGATTATGAAATGAGAGTTGCGTAAGCATTTGACTGTTAAAGTACCTTCTTCCTCCAAGTTTTCTCTTGTATGCAAGAGATCTACGGAGATGTTTCCACTGCTCAAAATAATTTCAGACTGATCGTCCTGTACGCTCGTAATTTGGAACTGAGCCTTGTCAATTGCGTCGGTCTTCAAAAGGCGAAGACGTAAGGGTCTAACCTAAAGTAAGAAGGATGAAAGCGTAGGATGAATTCCGATTAGCTCCTATAGCTTGACTCTAATTCATTTGAACACTAAAGTTACCTGTGTTTCGGGAAGAGTGAGAAGACTTGAAAGCTTCACATCACTTAGTTCCAGGCCAGAGATGTGTAAAAATTTGTCCTTTACCATTGCAAAGGCCATCTCCAGGTAAGCAGCCCCTGGCATCACGGCACCTCCCTCGATAAGGGCGTGGTCCTTCAGAGATGGAAAGTTGTACAAGTCAATCTCAGTCTCCCAGCAATGCAGGCCTGAACATTGGTCAGTCATTTTGACCTGTGCTAGATAAGGATGCGTTAGCTTCTTAACTGTTTCTTTAGAGCCAATTGGGTGCACTATCGCTTGTGGTGTGTGTTCCCTGTACCAAAAGGTGCTTTCTAGCCATGGAGATGTTGGGGGCCGGATGAACCTCGCTGACTGGTTCCCCTGCACCGAGGTCCAGTCTACGGGGAAGCCCATGGTATACAATTTGCATACAGTGTTCTGAAGAAAGCATTTGTGTTGGTCCTCGATGGGTACTCTCTTACGAGGAAGAGTTGCAATAACAACGGGCCTCTCTTCTTCCGTTAGATCTTCCTGGAGAGCTATCTGTTTCACGTAGTGGGCAAGAATTGGCTGTGTGCTGATCTCAATTATCTGCTTGTAACCATCGTTTAGTAAGTGTTTCATTGCCGAATAGAACCGAACAGGACAGCGTATATTTTGCCACCAGTAATCGCTGTTTAACTGTTGACCCGAAACAACTTCGCCTTCCACGGTAGAGTACATTGGAATCTTTGATAACTTAGGGTTCAGTTGGACATTTTTCATAGCTGCCTGAAAGGGTTTCTTGATGGGTTCCATGTGTGAGCTGTGAAATGCACGATTTGTTCCAAGAACGCGCCAGAAAACATCTCTTTCGTTCATCGATAGGTATTGCCCCAGTGCTTCGATGGATTGCGACTCACCAGCTACAGTGACGCTTTTTGCATCATTAACCGCTGCTATGTCAAGGGTAGTGCTCAACCTTAGATTGAGAAGTAACTCCTTAGCTTTTACCTCAGGCATACCCAGGGCAGCCATACCTCCATTATTTGGGCACCTATCTTGCAAGGTGGAGCGAGTTAGTACAAGCTGAACTGCTTCCTTGACAGTGATGATTCCAGCAACACAGGCAGCTGCAAACTCTCCTAAACTGTGACCGATAACGGCAGACGGATGGATTTTCCAGGACTTAAGCAGCTGTGCGGTTGCGTACTGGACAGCGAAGGTGGCTGGCTGGGCAATGTAGCTTTCTGTTATTCGTGAAACGTCTTCTGCTGCCATCAGTTCGACCTCGAGTGACCAAGGTTCTCCTAAATCTTTGAGTATCCTGCTCACTTTTAAAATAGCTTCTCTGAAAACAGTTTCACATTCCATTAACTGCCTTCCCATGGCATACCACTGTGATCCCTGACCACCAAACATGAAGACGACTTTCCTAACACTTGAGGTCACCTCAGCATAAGAAGCCAACTTTTCCCAACCAACAGAGGCATCAGCGAAAGCTTTCAGTGACTTGGATGCTTCGAAAGCGGTTCCAAATGCAATTGCCAAGCGATGTGGGTACTGGCTTCGACGTTCGTTGAACGAGTAACATAAGTTTACCATAAGGTGTTGATCCGTTTCTTCAGCGTTGCCTTTAATCCACTCGGAGTGAATGTGTGACATCTTTTTAAGAGCTTCTAGCGAACGCGCTGTAATAGTGAGTACTATACCCCTGCGTACGAAGTTTTCACATTCGAACCTTGGCGTGGATGCAGCCTCGCGAAGAATGGCATGTACATTTGACCCACCATAGCCGAATGAGTTGACGGCTGCTATTCGTGGTTTGCTTTTTTCTGTTTTCCAAGGCTCACGAGTATGTTGCAGAATAAGCCCTTTCTCATCTAGCTTTAGTTTGGGATTCAACACCTTAACGTTGATAGTTGGTACAAACGTCTTATTTCTTATCATCAGAGCGACTTTTATAAGCCCAGCAAGACCAGAAGTCGATTCCGTATGATTGAGATTTGATTTTACAGAGCCAATTCTCAATTTTCGTGAAGAATTTGCGGCCTGGTTGGAGTACGTATCCGCTATAGAATTGACTTCTACTACATCACCAATTGCCGTACCAGTTCCATGTGCTTCGAAGTAATCCACGTCTTCTGCAGCCACTCCCGACTGTTCTAGTACGCTTCTGGATAATTTAGCTTGCATCTTGGCACTTGGAGCAGTGATCGGCACAGCATTTTGACCATCGTTGTTCATTCCACATGCTACGATATCGCAGTATACATCATCCTTGTCACATAAAGCATCTCTTGACAGCTTTAGAACAACCGCTGCAAAGCCTTCTCCGCGTCCATAACCGTCCCCGGAAGCATCAAAACTTTTGCAACGGCCGTCCGGCGCGAGAAGTCCAGCCATACTAGATACTATCTGCATGGAATGGTTAAGGACGACATTGGGTGCACAAACTATAGCTATATCGCAATCATCGTTATGCAGGCTATCATAGGCTAGTTTAAGGGCAGTCAGCGATGAGGAACATGCTGTATCCACGGCAATACTTGGTCCGGTTAGATTAAGGCAAAATGACACTCTGTTGGCAAGAATAGACGCCGTTATCCCAGTTGAAGAATACTGATCGACATTGGAGAGATTTGACCGGTCTGTTACAAGTGCACTGTACTCAAGATTCATCACACCAACAAAGACACCCGTTCTGCACTTTTGTAAGTCTTCAAGCCGCATTCCTGCATCTTCGATTGCTTCGTAGACCACTTGAAGGAGTATTCTTTGCTGAGGGTCCATCGTGCGTGCCTCTTGATTGGATATACCGAAGAATTTGTTGTCGAAAGTGCTTATTTCCTCCAAGTAAGAACCCTTGATTGCACAAAGGCGTCCATTAACGAAGCGGTTGGGATTGTAGAGCTGATAAAACGCCTTATGCTCCTGTGTTCTGTTCTCGGGGAAGGCACGAATGGAACTCTTTCCTTGCTCAAGCAAAACCCAAAAAAGTTCCTTACTGTTGGCGCCGGGGAATTTACAACTGATGCCAATGATGGAGATCGCGGGACGTTTAGCCTTAGGCTTTCTTATGTCACCATTTCGTGCTTCTAGTAATATTGAATCATTTGTTTCCTTGAAATATTCTGTCATCTGTTCGCCAACCTTGGTATCAAAACAATGGACTAACTCCTCAAACAATGCAACGAACGTCGGGAAGATAATAAGAGCATGGACTGACCCTAGAGCGAACACCAGAGAAAGTAGTAGAAAGAAAATGTCTCCTAGACTGGGAAAAATGAATCCTAAGGAAACACATGCTAATATGGATGTTAAAGTTCCTGCTAACACGGATAGTCCAACGGAGCGTAGAGCATCAATCATACGATCTTGTATATCTTGCTTGGCTGAGAGTACGAACGAATGGCCCACTTCAATACTATAATTCAAGGATAAGATGATCGTCACATAAAGAGAAATAAAAGGCACAGGACCTAGGTGAATTCCAGTTGTTTTCATAATTGCTGCTGCTTCCAGTACCAGTAGGTCAAACGTTAAGGCCAGGATTGTACTAGCCCCTAGATGACAGGTTGTAAACAGAGAAACCGCAAACACCACCACTGTGCCAGCTGTGATGACTATGGAAATTGTTTCTTGTTCTAACTCTACGTGGTCATCAATGTCGAAAAATTCTTCGGAGACCGGGACGGCTCTCGGGTAAGATTGTTCTTGTAAATCGACTCTCAGATTTCTTAGGGATTCTCTATCTTCACTAAATCGGTTTTTAAGTATCATCCTGAGATGAATTCGAGACGCCGATATTTTGGCAAGGGATGAAGAATCCTCAAGAAGCAAGTCTTGGCTAGTCGGAATACTGTAGGAACTATTCAGGAAAAGTTCCAAGCATCGGTAAAACCGTGAGTACAAACAACTCATGTTTTGGTGTTTAACCCACTGTCGGAAATCTGCCATCCAACAAAGCGACGTTCCTTCACTGTAAGTGGCCTCTTGCAGTTTTTTACACAGTGATATTACTTGATTTTGCACACTTTCTAGTGAATAGTTAATGTCCTCGGAGAAAACGATGCTTACATCAGTCTCGTTGCCAAGGAACATTTGTCGTGCCTTACTGAACTTCTTGAAATTTTCATTCTGACTATGCGACTCTATGGTACGCGTTCTCTCTCTAGTTCGAAAAGCGGAACAAACACACAAAGTGATCAGTAGGGCAAAGATTCCAAGGGAGAACATTTTGCCGCCGGTTGATGTTATTTTTCGGGCCAATTCTTTGAGAATCTGTTGCACTTTTGTTTTATGACACTGTGAAAGTCGTAGTGGAACGCTTTCAACCTCAGTGATTGACAACCTTTCACATGCCGTCTCACAGGAAGTGTTCGTGGTGTTAAGCTTCCTTTCAAAATACAGCAACACAGTGACTGTGATCGTCAGAGTAGAAGCAGAAAATACTAGATACGTAACAAGGGCTGCAAAGAAAAAATGCGAAATCCCCTCAAAAGAGGATTTTACTGCCATTCCACAAAGAAGTGACCCACAAAGTGCAGTTACAGTAGCGAGGATCCCTGTTTTAGCCAGGCAATTGACAACGCGATGTTCAAGTGATCGCACCTTTTTTTGCCTTTCCCATTCTACAAGAAAAAGTATCACGTCTGTAGTTGCTTTTCCCAATACTAGGAATGGTATAAACAGGGAGGTTGGGGAAAAGGCAAAGTTTATCATCGAGATAACACCTGCCGAACACGTTAATGGAAAAACAATAGAGAAAAAGATCAGGAAGATTGTCCTTAAACAACCGCTATTGGTAGAGGAAAAATGTAGTACGATGAATGCAAGGACAACCATCGTAAAAACTGAAACATAAAGAGGCCATGTTTCTGGTTTGAGGACATCTTGCAAGGCGTCTGTTGTTGCCCTCTCAGTCTTGTAGGAAAGTTCTGCACATTTCATGCGAGGACTTATTGAAATGAGGAGATTGCCGAAGGAGGCCTCAAACTTCTCTATTTCTTGGTAGTCTTTTGTACTGGTTGTCTTTCTTATGAAGTAAATAACTCGAAGAGCGTCGGCACGAGCAGTCAATGGACCTCTATTCCGGTCTATGTGGAAATTTGCCAGCATTTGCGGATAGGAAGAATTGAATGTTTGGCCAGAAGAAAGAACAGTAGTTGGCTTTACCAACTCACGAGCCAGAATAAGGGAAAGATTTTTCAAATTTTGAAAATGAGTTCCAGCTAACTCAAGAGGACTACTGATCACGCAGCTTTTTTTGTTTCCTTTTAGTGCGACACTTGGTAATTGCTGCCTGAAACATATATCAGCATAACCGCTGATATTCTCTATGGCTCTATGGACCATGACGACGTCTTTCAAACATTTTTCGCTCAGAATACTTTCACCATGCTTGGCCGTCATGATTATTTGTTCTTGGCGCGCCTCAAGAATCGGAAAGAATTGCGCGGAATTATGCGAGTCTCGCCTGGATTGGCTGTGGGTGACAGTAAAAAGCTCAATGCTTGGCTGTTCGACGTTCAGGCGAAAGAATCCCAGGCAGCAACCAATGATAATAAAAATCGAAACCAGAAGGACTGCCAATGGTTTGCTGGCAAGGAAATGCCCAAACCTTTCGAAGGCTTCTTGGTAAGCTGCAAGGATGACGAAAGTTTTGATTCTTCGTCTTGATGTGATCATGGCCCCGCACCCAGGCGGGCATGTTTTTTCGCCTCTTGTGAATGCGATTAGACCTAGGCGCAAGAATGGGATGTTGTAAAACGATAGCAATATTACCAAGACTTTTACCTCGTGCCTTGCCTTCAGCCAGAAATGTCACCATTGAAAGGCTTACCATAAGTTAGACCACAAACTAATTTTTGAGCGTTGCAAGATATTTCCGTTAGTATTCAGATAATAAACAAAACAGGGAATCGCAAGAAGTTTCTTGCGAGGCGTATGACCAACTCAGTTTATCTATGCTGTTTCATATTTCCTTGAGTTTCATAAAAGCCAGTAATTAGCAATATAGATTAAAATGAAAATTTTCTCCCCAACCTCTTAGGTTTGTAGGACAGGAACAATTTTCTCAATTTTCTCAATCTTCACCCATTTAGCGTTCAATTTCCTTGTAGCCCAGCAACCGGGTACCCTCACCATATGTTTGTGGCAATTTTTTAATTTTAATTTATCATCGAAAAGAAAACAATTGTTCTTAATAATGTGTTAAGCCTTTGATTTTCTAGTTTGAATCTGGGTCAAATGCTACCGGTGTGAAAACGTGAGTCCTTTGGATTGTGTTCCTCAGATAGAAACGCTCCTGAAGTGCAAAATGCGACTATGCTAAACAAACAAATAGAAAACCGTTTTCTTCGACACAAATAAAGGAGTCTCTTTCGCAGTTGCGATAACAGAGCAAGTGATCGTCTTCATTTGTCAATCAGTTGAAGTCATGATCCGTCGTGATACTGCTCAGTTTTATTAACTGGGACAGTAAATTATGGTAAAGATAAAGTATTAAGAAAATAGCCCAAATAAGTTACAAGGAACGTAGATTGATCATATTAGGAAATTTGCAGGGAAAATTTTGTTCTATTAACACTGCATACATAAAAATGCACGTTCATGTTATTAAAAATTAGCCTAAGAAATCGTGCAGAAAGTATAAACTGATAGTCAGCCGATGAAAATTTCGCTGAATCAGACAATTATTTACAGTATCGAACCAGTAAATTGTTTCAATTTCTTTAAAAAGGATAATATCTCGTGGTCACTTTCATCCCTGGCATTAACCATAGTAACTGTTCACCATTGTGCACTGATAATGACTAAAAGTGAAGGTCAGCAAAGTTATAGATGAAATTATCCAAAATACATATAAGCAGAAAAAGTGATGCAATAAGTTGTCAGTTGTGCTTTAGAAGACCGGACTAGTTCCTGTGTCCACATTTTCTTAGTTAATTAACGAGCGTTTAATCTCCGGTGCTCAGCGAGGAGAAAATATTTTTTTGCCTTGTTGTGGTTACTTGTTCAGTGGACCTTGCACAATATATTTCATTAATTTTTAACCTTTGTCATCTTTATCAGAACTAAATCTAGTACGCGGAAAGTGTTTATAATCTTGTGGAGTGTTCTATTGGCTTGGACTAACCCCAAGTCGAAAATGATGCAAAGTGGTATTTTAGCGCTGAAAGTTGCGAATATTGATCAAGAGCAAGAGTATATTCTCTTATCAAGAGTTATCTTATGCCTCTGGGATATGAAAAGCGTTAAGAGAAATATTTCTGATAAATTTCGCGACTTTATCCTTCACTAGGTATCTAAGTTTTGCTGAGAGTTTTGTTTGTTAGAAAATCTCACTTGGTGAAGGCCAAAAACTAATAATGATAAGTAAGAATGCAATCAACCTCTGCGGAGGAGGAGTATTTCTCAGACAAGGAAACTTTTACCTGTACAGAAAATGATCCACAGAAAAACTTGCAGCTGACTTTTCTAGTGTTTTCGGATACCTAGTTGGTAATGATACCGTTGACTCACGAGCTTGTTTCGAAAGCTCATTCAAATGTTGTACTTTCATTTGTGCCGACAAGCATAAATGCATATACCACAGAAGATAATTCAATAAGGGAAGACATACTTGGGCAAGTCTGCTGATTGAATAATGTAAATATCTCTGAATATAAATTATGAGTTCTGAAAAAATATCTTGTGTTTTTTAACGGAAGAAAACAGCAAATTTAACGGCCGCCGCATAGTATTTTACAAGAAGTATGTAAGACAATGAACGGCATACCTAAATCAAAATATCTCTTACAGCATTAGTCCAATAGCCAGAACTTGCCTCCAAACAGGTTGCACATTGCTTTTGTTAATAAATATCAATATGTTATTGGAAGCAATCATGATGGCTTCTTGGAAATTAAAGTGTTTCACGGAGACATTAATAGAGGCATTCGAGTGTGCTTAAAGCTTCTACCTAAAAACCGACAAAAAGCATTAGAGATAGACCAGAAAAATCTCACTTGGAAAACAAACCGACTAAATCACAGACATGACAACTGCTCTTGAAAAATCAAGAAGGTACACTTTTGCAGAGAAACTTCTTACGATTTAGAGTAAAGAGAGCATATCATTGTTTTCTTTCAAAATAGATTTCCTCCATCTAAACGCAAGACGATGAAAAATACAATTGCAAATTTTTCAGGAAGATATATCCTGTACTTTGATTCAAGATTTCTCAATTTGAAGATGTTTAACTTCACAAGTTTCTTTCGCTGAAGTTTTAGCAAAAGGCGAAAAAGGGGACCTTGAACATTTAACCTGTACCTAAAAGTACAGCCGAGCGTTCACTTATTTGTAAGCCATCTTCAAAGATATTGTGAAGATTCAAAACATGTTTTTGCTCTTAAGGCTGGACACAAGCATTGGGTTTCTTCCGAAGAAGAAGAATTTCGGAAGATCAACTTGAAGCAATGATAATGAAGACGATGAAAATACTCCACTTACTGCCAGCCTGGTTCCTGGTTGGCTACTTCCAGATCAGCCATCGTACCTTACACTTGTTTAAAACAACTGTCTTTCAGAAAAACTGCTTCGATAAAAATCGACTTAAAAATTTTCTAGCTTCTTAACAGAATATACGTTTTCATACAGCCGTTCAAGCTTAAGCTTTCCAGGGTAAAAATAAAACGTATTTATCATTTCCATCTCAAATTAACATCATCATTGTTATTTCTTCGTGTGAGTTTCAACGATTCTTGGAACTGATCTGCGATTAGGTTGTTAACGGCAGAGTTTCTTAAGAATTTGCAAACATAGTTTAACCTCGTGCTTTTTCATTTACAAAAACCTCAGCCGAGAAACAGTAAAACTTCAATAAACTTAGACGTGGTTCATGTTATTACCTTTGATATGACACGAAGAATGGAAAACCTTAGGTGAAGAAAATCAAAATAACTTACCATTACCAGTTTAATTGCCTCAGAAATTTTGAATTGGCAAGGGAAACGTTTCATTTAGAAACTCTTTAATCCAAACCGTTTAATCCATATCTCAAGAGTGAACATGCTTACTCTTCGTGGTTTTTACTTTTGCATAACCACAGCTAGTTCGGGTGCCGCAGGATACACCACAACCATTTGAAATGAATGATCTTGACGATTTTCGACTAGAAGGAAACTGAGATAACCTGGGTGCTGTATTTCGTTGTTAATAATCGTATATAACGCCCTCATATTTCTGTTAAAACAGGGAAACAAACCAACTTCTTCCAAAGGAATGAAATGCGTTTCCATACTAATTTCGAACAATTCGAAGATGGTGTCACTCGTTTGTGTTGATTCATGCTGATTATATCTCGATACAGTTATCTGGTTAATTTATGAAATCCAAATGCAAACCACCTACCCCCAAAACATCATTTCAAACTTAAAAGCACGGGCTACAGAACGTGCCAAATACGCTTTTAGTTTTTGCTTGTAAAAGTTTTTCCAACAAGCCTCTTCTTTCGATGTTGGCCTAAATATTTTCAATTGCAAAGCAAAAACTTTGAGACAAAGAGAGATGCGTACGATCCATAAACAAACTATTAAAGGAAAAGATACATATGATGCACGATTCTCGCAGTAGATAGCGCCATTTAAGCAATAGCGAAAATCAGACCTGAAAAAAATCAGGCCTGTACGGGATTCGAACCACTGACCTCTGCGATACTAGTGCAGCGCTCTACCAATTGAGCTAACAAGCCAACTGGGAGCAGGCCGTTAAGTTGATTCGTAATAAACCCGTGAAAGTGATAAATCAGATACAATGAAATATATGAAGTTCATATATTTATGTAAGTTCATATATTTATATATTTTTATTCATATGTTTATATATTTTCATATATACCTCACGGCCTGCTCCCAGTTGGCTTGTTAGCTCAATTGGTAGAGCGCTGCACTAGTATCGCAGAGGTCAGTGGTTCGAATCCCGTACAGGCCTGATTTTTTTCAGGTCTGATTTTCGCTATTGCTTAAAT